ATTGAATCTTGATCAAAGTGATTAGCAAAATAGTACTTTAAACTTAATTATTTCTTTCAATTAATTCACCTATTGAACATATAAAATATATTTTAAATAAAGAGGTATGTGAAATGACACAATCTTACAAACTGACATTTTTCCTAAGAAACCAATTTAATTATTGTCTTCAATATCAGTAGTGCAGGTCATGGGTTGGCAAAAAATCTTGCAGAAATGAAGTGATTGCTGTCATGAACCGTATAACAGAATGGCTAAATCTATACACTCTAGCAGTGTTCAAGGGAGCAAGCAATAAGAAATTATTGATATACTCATGGTGGTTTTGCACAACTTTAGCTTAGCTAACTTCAATACACCTACAAAAGATACACCAGTGAGCTAACGATCCCAAACTGTAAGTTTCAGATTTCAGTTAAGACTTGAATTTATTTTTTCTATCTTTGGTCTACTAGTGAAAGTTATGTAAGAGCATGGTATATACAGTTTATATTCTACCACTTTTTAAAGAAAACCTGTATAAGTGCTGAAAGTTTTTCTATTATATTACGGAAGTACTTATTAGATTTTTTACTGCAAGGTTCATTCCTGACTATGGACAAGAATGAAACAAACAAAAAGTGTGGATGGTTTAATTATTGGGTATTTTCCTGCCTTTCTGAAACGTTATTCATTTCTTGAAATGCCCAGTTTGCTTCTATCTAAAAGGATTCAAGACTGTTATAACAATATTTAGTTGGTGTTCCACGCCACAGAAGAATTCACAATGCATTTTCAAAAAACTGTTTAATGACACATTAATGTTCTGCTGCTGTGCTCCCCCTCTAAACAAATCTCCCATTGACATACATGGGAGGTAAATGCAAAAGGGCAATGGGATTGGGAATTTGGTTAATTATTTGATGGGTGTTATAATGAATCAGTTTTAGAATAATTGTAATGTTTGGGGAAGTAACTAAATTACAAGAAAGCATATCTTACTGACACGTTTGCAGCTATACCATTATGTGCATTAAAGGTTCCCCTTAATTATTCCAATGTCATGTTTGTGTTGCACCGTTAAAAGATAAATCACCTATTGTCACACAGACTTTTATGTACAGCACATTCAACAAGTCAAGATTAGTAACGGTTTTGGTTTCCCTAGAAATTTGGCATGCAGCCACCAAATTGGATCCCATGCAAAAAGTCAGTTTCAACATGAATGACAGCAGTGCCCCTGCAAATAGCTAAATGTGTTAAATTTAGCAGACAAAGTATTTCATTAACCAATTCATTTATTGCGTTAAACTTTGCAACCCATGAACATTAGGAAATTAACAACGAAATTACCCACAATCTACTTTCCTTCTTCATCTTTCTCACATCAGACCATTATGCTGTCTCTTAAAAGTACATTTGAAACTGAGGTGAAATATCATGTAAGCAGTTTGCAGAAAGGTTCTCCTCCTTCCCCTCCCTTCAGGAATGTCGCTGCTCATTTATAGCTCTAAACTCTTCATAAGCATAACATCGCACCTACGTCTACGAGGCAGCTCAACTGCTAAACCCCGTGCTAATGGAACAGCTCCTCAATGGCTCTTGTGAAGTGCTTTATCTTTCAACGGAGCTTAATTTCCTGATGATATTTGTTACTTTTAGAATCTCACTAAAACTAAGTAAAAAGATTAGAGTTTTGAAAGCTTTTTGCATCAGGACTGTTGTGTCCAAACTCTCAGGGCAAATTCTGACGGTTATTGTGGCTGAGAAATGCGTATTTAATTTTGCTGAGGATGGAAATTCCACATTTGAGTCAGAGAAAACAACTTTCTGAGTTCTTTGTGTGGACTATATTTTCTGTAGAAGTCTTTACTCTGAGCATAGAAATCATGACTTGTCAAGTTGTACTCAGTTAACCAATGTTGGGTCACTGAGCTGGAAACAATGTTCTGTGGTGTTTATACTTGACTTTTTCTTCATGATTGCACCAATGAACAACATTTTAGTGATGGGGATTTTATGGCATGCAGCAACCGCCAGTCACAGTGAACGCAAACCAAGTGCAAAGCACTGAATGCTATGACTAGAACAACTATATCAGGGAAGGATGAAGCTCCATTTCATCTTCTGGTGCTACAGGGATCACCGTCCTTCTCCATGAATTATCTCTTCAAGAGAGTGACCCTGTGGTGCTGCACCGTAACCTGACTTCTGTATTTAGGACTGAGTCTATTAAATGCCATGAAAAGCTCATATCCAAGGAGAAATGAACTGGAAATAACCTGAGGCAACAAAGAGTGTCTTAGCAGCATCCTACTGAGAAGGTCACAAATTTCAACATTTAGACGCTATTTCTCTGTGATGATGAACAGGACAGCATAGCTGCTGTGACTGCTGTGAAGAACAGAGACCAAAAAACGACTCCCTTGATTTCTCTCACTCTCCAACTATCAAGGTTCTAGATAGCAAATAAGGTGATTTTTTTGTTGTTTTTTCTTTTATTATTTAAAATGCCGTGAACTATTTTTGCAGAAGGCAAAAGCACCGCTTCATCTTGCTGGAATATTTTTTTGTTTTAGCTCATCTCCCTTTTCCTTTCTTATTTGCAATGCAAACAGCACAACATGCTAGGAGGTAGCCAAACTGGCAAAATTTTGCATCTACACAGTTCTAAATAGTGGCCCCTTAGAGCTTCATTGTGCTTTCCTTGGGATTATGTGAACCCTAACAAACACTTAAATTCCCGACCTGTAAAGGTGCAGCTCTGGTGATTACCAGAGTGATAGCAACTGCAAATTTCAGTCACGTTGTAATGCAATATTGTCATTTTAATACATTGTAATAGTAACATTGGCAAGTATTAAGATTTTGTCTTAAGTTTTATGACAGTACTTGTCTTAAAACCTGGCAGCAGAAATTAAGTTTTTATCTGAGAATCTCAACGCCTTGAAAAGCATTTATATGTTAGACAAAGAATTTGCTTGTAAAGAACCAAATAAATGGGCCACACACTTAAAAAAAAAAAACACACACACACACAACAAAACTTTCTTATCATTTTGGATATCTAACACAATGTTTATGTATTTGAAGTCTATCAGCTTCAGTCACACAGCCACAGCTGGCTACCATACTTAAGAATATAGTTTAGATTGTACTGGATTGTTCTGAAATAATTTGTGTTTGTAACAGTTTGATAGAATTACTGGATCGAGACTCTAGTTAATTCATCTGTTATCTAAACATATTATTATACTTATTCATATACTTAAGACACACATAATTGACTGGAATTTAAAATGTGTTTTCTGTAAATATTCAGCATTCACAGAAACTTTGCACCATCCATGAATGTTTTACTCTGTTAATTAATTTTCTAGAATATGCTGGGAAGGCGAATATGCATGCAGAATGAGCACAAGCACAATGGTATCTTAAAATTAGTAAAACATCTGCAACCAGTTTTAGGCAATGACTTTGTCTGTGTTGCACAAGAGTTAGTGGAACTGTTCTACAGTCACCACTGAACTGATAGAATTGTAACAGAGTACCAACTAGCAATTGTAAAACTATATTTGCAGTATTCATGCATGTCTTGGGCTACCTAAACCTACTTTATATTGGCTGTGTGCCTGTCTTAGAGCCTTAGTTGTCTGATCTCAAGGCAGCAACTAACACCACTGAGATGTCATAGATAAATATATTTACTTGCACATATCAAAATAAATTTTAAGGAAAATACTGAATTACTAGAGATTGATCATCATAATATTTCTGGAAAAAAAAACATAAGTGTTTTACAATCAGCCTACTTAGATTGATTCACTTGGTGATGAATTTATGTACTATGTATAATCAGACCATCACTGAATAATGACATCAGCTTTCACAGGAGTCAGGAATCAGCGCAACACTGTTATGCCCTGTTGTTCTTTCAAAATACGATGACTTTATCTCAACACCCTATAAAATAAATAGAGTGACACTTCCAGGACCCATTCAAGAAGGAGAGCACAGCAGCCTAAAACTACTTTTTTCCTTCCTGATGTGGTCATGTTTTGTGCAGGTGACTCTACGATTGTAGATTCAAAGAAATGAGAATAGAAAAGGCATGGGATTAGTGAAGGTCTGCTCTCCTATTATGAAAATTTTAACCATTGAAAAATATTATGGAAAAGAATATTACAATCACTCTGTATACCTCAGGCTGTGTCAATGATTTATTCAAAATGCATTCCTTACTATGCATTCCCATAATTTACAGTAATCTAAGTATTAGGATATAGCTTAGAAGGTTGATGAAGTTCTACAGAAGCAAAACTATTGTGAGCTGAACATAAAAAACAATCAAACAAACAAACAAACAAAAACCACTAAGGTGCTATGAGAAGCTAGAATGAATGATTTCCTATGGACTTGGATTCTCTTTCTGAACGTTCCAGCTCTTCCTTTTTCCCATAACAACCCCAGAAGTCCTACTCTGGGGTTATCCTAACTCAGAAAGAGATGCAATGCTTTCTGTAGTCAAGACTGCCTGAGCAGCTGTTGACAAACAGAACTTGCCACAGCTGGGTTCTGCCTTCCTTTTCTCCAGTAGCAACTCTCATTTGTGTCCCCTCTCTTTTATATAGCAGACAGATGATCTTGAAGTTTCTAGCACTGTTGCTATCTTTGGGATGTCTACGTTTCAAATGTTATTTATGTTAGTCATTGTGCTTAGAAGTTTTTGGAGGGAGAGACTAATGGGCAAATAGCAAGACTGCACAAGAACACAGAAGGCTACGTTCTTTAAGAAAAAAGCAAAAAATATACAGACTGAGCAGCTGAATTAAAGCCATCTATGCTGTAAAATACATGTTTTTCCAATTTCAATTCTACTTTAGTTAATAAATTATACCATAAATCCATTTGGCCCTGATTGAGCTTCTGATCTTGATTAGAGCAGGTGAATTACAAGATTAAGTCCCTGGCAGCAAAAAATCTGTAAAGACTAGAAGTTATGAGATAAGTTATCAGCGTACCTGTCTGTCCCACTGGAGTGCCGAAAGCCATCCGGATTCCAGATGTCCATACAAGCAGAGGAGCTACAGGAATCTGGCAAAAAGGTCCAGGAAATATATTTAGCTTTTCTCATAGCTTCAGATGCTCAGGAGAATAATCTTACTAGGTTATAAATCTGCCCTGTCTTTGCCCTTTAGGAGAGCAGTGGTAATCTCACTTCTGTTTCCACTTGTCATGAATTATCTTGGGGCAGGTGCTTTTGTGGATGTAGTCTGGTGCCTTCTAGAGTGAATCTAGTTCTCAGCTTCCACACATTGACAGAACAGGCATGCAATAGGTCCAAACTGCACCGTTAATGACATATTTGTTCTACATTTAAAAAAATGAGTTAACAATTTGTCATGTAGTTTTGTGAGTATGATGCTACCTTAAGTGATGTCTTCCTAATACAACTCTCTTTCACCAACAGTGACAACTTGCGGAACACATAAATGAATAATGTGCTGTACAACAGGCACTCACTGACCCATGAATACAGCAAGGAATTCAAGAAAGTATTGGAAGCAAATTCAGATTAGTTGCTGGGATGCAGCCCGTACATCTTAGAGGCATCTGGGGCCTGTCAATCTATGAGAAGGTCAGATATGACAGAGGAAAAGAATAGCAATAGTGTATTTTGAGACATTATTCTTTTTTGTTCATTCACAGTAACAAATAGGAAACCAAGAAAGAGGTCTGGGCTCTGCTTTGGTAGTCTTTATACTAAATCCATAACAAAAAAAGATTCCCTGTTCCCATTCTCTGTTCCCTGTTTCCATTTAAAGCAGATTGAATCTGAGTTTACTGTACATTCCACTTGCTTGTTGTTATATATTATATATGTATATATATATAGTCTGGAAAAAATCAGAAGCCATATGTTTGTAAGACGATAGGATTCTACAGCTATTTTGTCCCTTTACCTCAAGACAGTTGTCCTCCGTGTGAGTGGTTTATACTGTTTCTGTTTGGTTATACATATGTTTATAACAGTAGTTAAGTATAGTTTATATGTCTGAGAGGAAGGAATTAGGATCCTTTTTCATTTTTGTCCTTCCTGTTTAGAATATGTAAAAATTAATGTATTTATTTAACATTTTATTTCTTCTGAAATTTCAAAAAAATCATTAATACAATTCATTAGTAATAAGTCATACGGCATCTAGATGACTAGAATTCAGATTTCTTATCCCCAGCCTTACGTAGGCATAATCATAAATAAATGCAGTCCCCTGCCCTTACTAATTTATAGTTGAGAAGAGGAAATTCTAAAGGGTGGGAGGCATGGGGAATGTGTATACATATACATATACACATTTAGAGAGAGAGAGAGCAAGACATACACACACACGCATCTATATATATACACACACACCACCTATACAGTTATTATTATAGCCATTCATTAAATGTAGTTATGTATAATGATATTTAATTACATAAATTACAATTCACTATTGAATTTGTGCAGGTTAAGCCTGAAAATATGGAAAAGAATCTATTATATTTCACCAAGATGGGATTGCATTGAAAGGCTGGAGAAAAGACAAGTCAGCAGTGGAGGCCTGAGCAGTTTCTCATGTAGGTGTGTGCTAGAATTGTACCTTGCTAAGCCAGTGGCCTTTGTTAAACACACATAGTACAAGAAGCTAGCTGTTGGAAATATCCAGGTGTCAGTATGTGGTATTTAATGGAATAAAGTCATAAATTCTTCTGTATCCAACTCTAACATTCTTGCACATATAATAAGACTAAGAACAGAGCTATGTTTAGGAAGTATCGAAAATCTGATTTAATAAATGAAACGTTGTTAAATTCACATCTGCCTTTCCTTTTGTAAATACAACAATAAATTAATGTGACATACTCAGAAATTTCATTTGCACTAGGGAGAAAGTGGGATTAGTTTTTTTTCTGTCTACAATACCCTGCAATCCTAAAAAAATAGATAAAAATAGAGTAAAGGGTAAAAATAGAAATAGATAAAAACAGGATACAGTAAAAAGTACTGAACACTTTTGAAAAATCTTCTTATCTAATCTGCCCCTTGGAATTTGAATATATTAATGGAGCCAAGTGTTCTGAAACTGTATAATTTTTTTGCAGCATGATTGGGTTTTGATACCCAAAGTATAAAACATAATAAAATGGTAAGAAATTGGACTAGAAATTTGTAGTGTTTTTTTTCATTTTCAGGAGGCACATAGAGAAACAAAGAAGTCAAGGAGAAAACAGAGAGAGAGAAAGATAAAAATACATGATAAAACACAATTTGATCCTGTGCTTTTGTGCACAGTGTTGGGTAATGGCATAGAGCTCTACAGCATGGAAGGATACGACCAGACCTGTGCAGAGTATGTCTTCTGGAAGTCACCATATGTTAAACCTGCTCCAAAAGCACATACAGGATCCAGCCCCTCAGATGACTTCTAAAGAGTCAAAGTGTCTGGATTTCATTAGAGTTTAGACGTTAGCCAAGCATAATTTCCTCAGCCCTGTCAACCATAGGATATTTCCAGGGAGACAGAGATGCAAAATTCTAGACACCTGTGAGTCTTTCAAATGGGAAACCAAAATGTTTATGGTACGGAAAATTAAGTGGCATGCAAAGGCTGATCTGGGGTTTTCTGAAGTGCAAGTTTTGATACCTAATCTTCATCTGAATCATGCTCTGATACTCATGTCCTCTGGACTTAGCACTTAGATACAAAGATGAGGAGCACAGTGTCAAAACAGAACAGAGTGGATTAATGAGGGGTTACCTCATTTTGCTGGTCGTTACCATCATGTCACATAAGAAGTTATAAGAAGTTATGTGACTACTTCAGACTAATGTTGGAGTCAATGGTAACAATATGGCATAATCTGTACATAGAATTTTTTTTCAGCTCTGAAAGCACATTTGAAACACATGGCATAGGAGCAAAAATAAATGGAATATTAACATACCTTATGTTTCAGATTAATATCCTGGTCATGCTGACAAAGTGTAATTTGTAGATGCTACATGGAAACAAAACCTGAAAAATTCCTGTCATTAATATTTAAGATGAATAGTGCTTCAAACAACCTTAATAATACTGTTAACAGCTGACAATATAATTAAGATTATCTCTTTGCTTGTAGTGGAGGGGGGAGTATAAATTATTAAATGCATCTAAATAACCGCTCTCAATTAATATGAAATTTCTGACTATGTTAAACAACATATTTATTGAATGCAGGCTTTAAAGTACTAGAAATGCAAGCTGACATTATTTAGGTTTGCTTACCAGCTATTTACATAGACAGTTCAGCCTCCATAAAATGATTAGCTGAAGATAACCCTTCCATATTTGCTCTTCCAGGTTCCTTGGGGGCTTTTTTATTTAAGCAGCTGATTTACTAAATGACTCTCTTGTTTTGCCTAATACTAGGAGACACTTTCTTAACAGAAGATTAAGAAAAGTTCCAGCGAGGGTTGCTGCTTTATTCTTTTTTTTTTTTATGTAAGTGTTGCTTTATAGTTGGCAGCTTTCTCCTAACAAAATTACTTATAGTGACTTTTCATGTAATAATCGCCTGCCTTATCCTTTCACTTAGCAATGCACTTTGGGTTGTTGTAGTCCAGCTGTGAACCTGCAACAATTTCAAAGTGACAGAAGGATGAAAGGTTGCACTTCAGTCAAATCCTTTTATGCTTCGTAATGAGTGGGTTTTTGCACATAGTGAACATGTAAAGAGCAATACATGATATTGTGTTGAATGACAAAAGAAAGTTTTTAGAACTTTGGAAAAATTAAAGGAGAAATATAGTGCATATAAATTGGGAAAAAATCTGAAGTTAGACTGTATGGCTTTTACTGCATATCCCTCCCTTAAGTACATGAACTTTAGTTTAACCAATAGTTCCTAGAAGTCACATATTCGGACACGAAGATTCAGCTAACATTTTAAAGCATAAAGGAAGATGGTACTTAACTTTCGAATTTCAAGAACTCTATTTTGAACTACAACCTAAATATTTCTATTTAGTGCTTCTTCACAGAAAGGATTCAAAAAGAAAAATGTCATTAACAATAATTGTCCACCTGGCAGCCGTTGCAAAGTGAACACTCACATGCAAATTGTCATAGATTATTAAATATTAACATCTCTGTGAAACAGAGAGATGTGACAAATAAAAAAAGTCACAAATGAGGTGGAGACAGGTGAATTTAAAACTGCTCAGAAGAAGTTAAAAATTTCCCTGGCACAAAAGCAGAAGGGGGCATGAGACAAGGCAGTATTGCTGTATTCTAGCTGGTCTCATCATTGCAATGAATCCTGAATCTAGAGCAGCCTATGGTGACTCATATTATCTGGAAGTGATATTTTAGCAGGAGTATTTCTGAGGTTCTAAGAAGATGCATCAGCAAAGATACATTATGAGCAAGGGAAAGCTACAGACTTTAAAAAGTTTTGAAGGAAAGATCAATAGCACCTAATGCCAGTCTCAAAGAGTAAACGGGAAAAAAAAAACAGAAATATTCGTAGAGTCAGGGGAACTCTGGCTTCCAATATCCAGATCATTTAGTATAACATAATATGAACCTGGGCCCAGCTGAAAATACAACAATTTTCATGCTGCACTAAGGCTGACCCCTAAATCTGGGACTTCTGGTAGCGTTGTCCAGTCTGCTTGCTGCCTCTGTGTCTTATCATCCTGTATTTTGTATTTACAAGAAACTCTGGTAGAGCCAACTCCTATCAGTTTTTACTCGCCTATGTAAGCATGCCATTTGGTAATGTCTAATACTGTCTCTACACTTTCATCCCATCCACTTACACCTTTGAGTAATCTCTTCCAATTTATTGGACTATTGGTCAAAACAATTTGTTAATCATTTCTTATATTATTATATACTAAAATGAAAAGATTATAAATGTATAAATGTAATAATAACAAGAAGAATGACCTATACAGCAGAGGGTGCAGCACATTCACTGAACACAAAGGCGGCGGTTAATCCTTGTACTTTTTTCCAGGTGTTCAGCTTGGTTTAGGATATTATGGGTTTTAAATAATAATGAGT